GTTCCCACTCTTTTTAGAAAATCATTTTCCAGGAGTTTTCCTTAATATTTCAGGACATGACAAAGGACAAAGATTGCTGCACATCAGTCCCACTGAGCACTTAAAACGTTTTTCCGATCTGCTTCATGTCTGTCATACAGCGCAGCTACCAAGTGTTAAGTTTCAAACTAAATGTGCACCCAGGTTTATGTTGGCGTCCTGAGTGAGCGGCTCAAATACAATAAAGATTTTTCAAGACAACATAGATTATTTCCAGGATATTTGGTCATTTTTATCAATTACATGACTGGAAAACTAGACTCTAAATTTCCAGGTTTGCAGGATGCATGCGAACCCTGAGTGACTGTCTCAACGAGCCAGACACATGATACTGGCAGGAAGTGGTGGACTGTACACCGGTAGAACCCAGTTTAGATGTGTCCTTACCATTAACCCCACAGTCATATGTGCAGCCTTTCTAAAAACACACTCAGGCTGAACTGGTTAATTTCTTTGATGAAACATAAATCAATTCCTGTGCTAAAGGCTTCAGTGGTGAGACAGCAGGAACCTTGAAGGAGAAGAATAAATCTGCCTGCGACACTGAATTCAAATATCAAAGCTTGCCCCACTGCTCGGGTTCAAACTGAGTATTCAGTGTGAACGCCACAGTGTCAACAGAGAGAGCAAGAAGGGAAGGACAACCTTGCAGAGCCCCAGTTTGGCAGCGATTTCGTCCACAGCTGCAGCTTTAGGATCGTCCACCAGTTCCAGGCTGTTCTGAGTGGCATTCTGAAACAAAAACAAATGTTCCCATTAAATCATACCAAATAATCACTACGATCTGGATAAGGAGTTTAACTGATGACGGGAGGATGAAGGACAGTACACTAACCATACTGTACCGAGGAACTGAACAAAGACATGCACTGACTGGAGGATTTGAGGTGTACAGTGAATCCCTCACCTGCGGCGGCTCGTAGATGGCAGCCACCTCAGCTCTGATGCCCAGAGGGATGTCTTTGTGCTCGGTGAACTTGCCGTACAAGTATCCCATCCTCTGACTGCCCGTCTTCCTCCAGAAGTCCAGGAAGCGGTCGGCGATGGTGTGGTTCTCAAACATGATGTTGTCCACGTGTCTGTATTTCTGGGAGAAGAACAGAGGAAGGTAAATTCAGTCTGTGTGCCTTCAATGGTCTCGTGGTTTGTTTCTTTAATCCTGGGTTGGTGGGTTCGATCCCCAGCTACTCCTGTCTGCATGTCAAATGTCCTTGGACAAGAAACTGAACCGCAAATTGCTCCCGATGATCAGGCCAGCACCTGGCAAGGTTACCCCTGCCATCTGTGTGTGTGTGTGTGGGGTGTGAGAGGCAAATCTATAAATGCACTTTGGATAAAAGCACTCTATAAACAGAGCCATCTACAATTTCATCATTTGAGAGGGAGAGAAATTACTTCTGCGTGGTTGATCACTTGTACAACACACATTCACACCGGTACTGTTCTCTTCTATATCACATCCATTGTTAAAGGAGGTTTGTACTTTCCCCAGTGACTGAAGAAAAGGATTTAAGCCAAGTATGAAAATCTTTCTTTCTCTGTTTTTTTAAAGCATATTTTGATGAAAATTTGATTTTTCCAAACATTACTAGCACAGAAATATGTATTTTCTACTCATTCCAATAACAGACATAACAAATACCTGAGGGTATCAAAGACAGCATGAACTAAATGTACCGTTGCAGTAACAGGTGAACGGTTACAGGATCATTATAAAGAGTAAATATTAGAACAGTATTGAGACTAAGCCTGCCTCTGAACACTCTTTGCCATCGATTGATTGTATTCTTGGTGATCAACTGTGCTGCTGAACCTGCTGAAGGCTGTCACAGATAAACAGGTCACACACACACACCTGTCTGTTTAATGTGATGGCGCTGGGCTGGCACTTGGTGCAGATCCCCTCCGGCCAGGGAGGGTGGCCCTCGCAGCCCGACTTGATCTTACAGCTGATGTTCTCCAAAGCTGCAAACTTCCCTCTGCGGGAGATCGAAACAGCGTCAGATCGAAACAGCGTCAGAATCGGACGAGAATTTGTACATTTCCACTGAAGAAATCAAAAAACAACTTCTCACTTATCAGCTCCACCGGTCAGTTTGCGAATGTATGCGTGGAATGACATGTGCTTCACTGGGGGGTCGAGGTGATTCAGGTAGTCTTCGTCAAAAGGCTGAAAAAAGACACAAATTAGAAACCAGAGAAGAAGCAGCAGCCGGAGTTTCAGTGGTCGTACAGTTGTGGTGTCAGAATTACAGCCTGTTTAACTGTCTCACCTCTAACGGTACACAGTGCACACATTTTCCGAGGGCACCATGGCGACATCTGCAAGAAAAGAATCATCAGGTATGATTTGTATTTGTATTTAATCTGAGTGTCTGCTCGTCGTCTCTTACAGCTGTGGATCTTTGTTCCTGTAGATCTTGCCGTCTTGTTTGGCCAGATACTGATCAATCTCGTCCTCCTGGACCTGGGGTGCCGAGAAGGACCGGGGGATCATGGAGGACGAAGAAGAGGACGAGGAGGTTGAGATGGATGGTAGCGATGAAGAGGAGTGCGGGGTGGCCGTGTCCATCACCTCCCCAGAGGAGGAAGGAGCTCCCGACGGGAACAGATACAGCATGTCGCCATGCCTACGAAGGAGACGAGACAAAAGAGATGACGCGTTTAAAGAACTCCGACACTTTCAGGGTGTAAAATCTCACAGCTGGAACAATCTGTTTGACCTGAAATTCAACTGTATCCTAAATATTCTGTAAAAACCTCCCGATCAATCAGTGTTTGCTTCTATGCTCGAACCAGCAACTCCACCTGAGCTACAAGCGAAATGTGTAAGGAAGGTTTTGTCAATCATTTGAGAAGACTTTTAAGAAGCCAACACAGGTGTGTTTTTACTTCCTCAGGGCTGGAAGTCAGCACAGCACCAGCCACAGTTTGAGATATCGTCAATGTCACCTTGTGTGAACCGACCAATCACAGGACAACAGAACAAGGACACAGGGAACTTTTGAAAACACTGAACTCAGAGTATTGAGTTAGTCCTTAGCATTAATAATCTAGAGACTAACCAACACTGCAGAACATTTCTCTTGCTCGAGGATTTAATGAACATTGTGTATGTCTGCTGAATTGTCCAACTGGAATTAATATTATAATAGTAGTTATATGAATATAAATACACTAATATTAAATAATGATATTACTATACTCACTTTATACTATATTATCTGCTCATGTCAGGTTGTGGGTTATCTGCAGCCAAAGGATCAGTGTTACTAACATATCAATATGTGCTCACTCTATTGTTCTGTTTTACATCTATTTCATTAATTAATTTAATTAAAGTTGGAAATATTGTTCAGTAATCTTGTTGACAAAGTGTGGCGGCACAAAGTCTGAGTCAAAATGTCTGGATGACCTTTTTCCTGAATATTATAGATCCTGTTTTCTTCCCCACATGCATCATAACCGTACTTACTTGATCTTAAGCAGGCTCAGAGTTTTGTTCTGGGAGAGGATCTCTCCGGTCTTGTTGCGGTTCAGGTAAACAGAAAACCCATTGGAATTGAACCCAAACTCTTTGGCTACCTGAGAGAGAAACGATGCAGTGCGCTGATTAGAAAGGACGACAACCCTCACGTCAAATTACAACACAGCTATCAAAACACACAACTTTAGTTTAATGTTTCACTTTAGGTAATTTCACTTAGTGTAATTTTCAGTTAAGTTTCATTTTAGTTTAATGTTTCAGTTAATGTTTCAGTTTACTTTAGTGTTAATGTTCAGTTAATGTTAATGTTTCAGTTAGTGTAATGTTCAAGTTAGTAGTTAATGTTTCACTTTAGTGTAATGTTCACTTAGTGTTAATTTTCAGTTTACTTAGTGTTAATGTTCAGTTTACTTATGTTAATGTTTCATTTACTTTAGTTTTAATGTTCAGTTAGTGTTAATGTTTCATTAGTGTTAAATGTTCACTTTAGTGTTAATGTTCACTTTAGGTTAATGTTTCCTTTTAGTGTTAATGTTCAGTTAATGTTCATTATGTTAATGTTTCAGTTAAGTTTCAGTTGTACTTTAGCTGTTAATGTTCAGTTATGTTAATGTTTCAGTTAGTGTTAATGTTTCAGTAGGGTAATGTTCACTTTAGTGTTAATGTTTCGTAGTTAATGTTTCAGTTAGTGTTAATTTTCATTAGTGTTAATGTTTTCAGTTTAATGTTATTTTTTCGATTAGTGATTAATGTTTCCAGTTATGTGTTAATGTTTCACTTTAGTGTTAATGTCACTTTAGTGTTAATGTTTCAGTTAGTGTTAATGTTTCAGTTAGTGTTAATGTTCAGTTAGTGTTAATGATTTCAGTTAGTGTTAATTTTCAGTTAGTGTTAATGGTTTCATTAGTGTAATGTTCAGTTAAGTTAATGTTCAGTTAGTTTAATGTTTCAGTTAGTGTTAATGTTTCAGTTAGTGTTAATTTTTCGTTAGTGTTAATGTTTCACTTTAGTGTTAATTTCAGTAGTGTTAATGTTTCAGTAGTGTTAATGTTTCATTAGTGTATGTTTCACTTAGTGTTAATTTTTCACTTTAGTCGTTAAACTGTTTCAGTAGTGTTAATGTTTCAGTTAGTGTTAATGTTCTCAGTTACTTTAGTTTAATTTCAGTTATATGTTTCAAGTTTACTTTAGTATTAATGTTTCAGTTAATTTTCAGTTTACTTTAGTGTTAATTGTTCATTTACTTTTAGTGTTAATGTTTCAGTTACTTTAGTGGTAATGTTTCACTTTATGGTAATGTTTCAGGTCAGGAGCTCTTTATTTAACGAAACAGCACGTTTATTCTGCAACTGTCATCTGGTGTTGATGATATACGGAGAGAGATGAGGAGAGAAGAGAGAGAGAGAGAGAGAGAACGAGATAGATCATATTGGAAGCTGTGGTTAACCCCTGTTGTTGTTGTTTGTTGTTGTTGTTGTGTTGTTTTTCAACAGTTGTAAAAGCTGCAGTCGTTCACTTATAACACTAAAACTATTCATAAATCCTCGACAGTAGAAACAGAGACAGATCATCTATGAACACATCCTCCTCCTCCTGTCCTCCTCCTCCTCCTCTCTCTTCCTCCTCTGGTCCTCTTCTCCTCTCCTCTGCTCCCTCTCTCTTCTCCCCTGCTCTCTCCCCTCCTCTCCTGCTCTCTGCTCTTCTCTCTCTCCATCCCTCTCTCCTCCTCTCCTGCTCCTACCTCTTCTCTCCTCCTCCTGCCTCCTCCTGCTCCTCCTCTCTCTGCTCCCTCTCTTCTCTCCCTCCTTCCTCCTGCTCCTCCTGCCTCCTGCCTGTTACCTCTCTCTCTCCTCCTCCTGCGCCCTCTGATGCTCCTCTCCCCTCCTCCTACCTCCTCTCTCCTCCTCCTCCTTCCCCCTCCTCCTCCTCCTCCTCCTCTCTCCTCCTCTCCTGCTATCCTCTCTTCTCCTCTTCCTGTCCTTCTTCTCCTCCTCCTCCTCCTCCCTCTCCTCCTCTCCTCCTTCTCTCCTCCTCTCCTCCTCCTCTCCTACCTCTCTCTCCTCTCTCTCTCTCTCCTCTCCCCTCTCCTCCCTCTCTCTCCTCTCTCTCTCCTCTCCTCTCTCGCTCTCTCCTCACCCTCCTGCTCTCCTCCCTCTCTCTCCTCCTCTCTCCTCTTCCACTCTGTCTGCTCGTTTCTTCAGTCATCAGGGTTCAGTCCCCGACGATGAAGAAGATCCTCTACCAAGAAGAGAGACAGCTGTGCTTTTCTAAAGAAGTACAGTATTCACCACAGAAGGAGATAATGGAACCCATAAAACAAACTGGTTTAATAACAGTTTATATTAGTGTCGCCGTCTGACATCTACTCACATTAAGCCTAAGCCTCCAGTTGCAGCAGCTCCTCATTAAACATGGATGTGAAGGCAGGACGTGTAATCCCTCGGATCCAATCGGAGGATTTTCATCCCTCGCCGTCTGCTCGATCCTGTGAGAGGGGGAATAATAAGAGGAGGTGTGAGGCACGACGGGGAACGGTGTGAGGCAGGCTGGGGATGGGACGGGAGGGAGACGGGGGAGACGGTGTGAGGCAGACTGGGGAGACGGGGATGTGAGCAGGCGGGAGACGGTTAGCAGAGCGGGGAGAGACGGTGTGAGGCAGGACGGGGGAAGACGGGAGGGTGTGAGGCATGACGGGGGAGACGGTGTGAGCCTGCAGGTCTGTCTGCGTCGACAGCGGATCGTTTTATTACACAACGTTCTTTGTGTCACTTTACAAAATATATTTCCGTCGCTCAAGAAACGGTCCGACTTTCTCTGCGAGTCCCAACAGGAGAAACACAGAAGCCGACTGTGCTGCGGCTGGTGGTACGCTCTTCAATACCAGTGAAGCTGTCGCTGGTCAAAGACAGTTCATCTGTTGTTAAAAGGTCACTTAATGGTTGTGAATCACAGCTGAAGTGATGAAAGCATCAGGGCTGCTGTGTGATGATAGAAACATAAAAAATAAAAGCTATCCGCTCGCTCCTCCAACAGGCGCTCTCTCTCGTGCCAAGAGGCTCTGTGATAATTCTGCTGTGATCGACGAGTGTACACACTTTAACACACAGACACACCTTTTTCACGTGGATTCGAGGAAGCTACAGACCGACCTGAAGACT